TTGGACACATTATTCAATCCCCTAAGCCCTAATTTCCCAGTAGGTAAAATGGGATAATTATACCATCTATCCTAGGGTTATTTTGAAGATTAGATCATGTGTATAAAGTACTCATACTGCATAACACACTTAAGTACACAAATATTAGCTATTACTAATAACTATGTTTCCAAAACTATTTAGGGAGTATAGCCCCAGACTGTCATTTTCCCTATCCAAATCAAGGTAAAGATTAGAGTTTCCCAAAGACAGTGTGTTTCGTAATAAATTAGTTTAATGGGTATCACATAAAGAAAGGAATTCCATAAGCCAAGCAAGTCTAAGTTAGGTAATTTTTTTTAAGCAGCAAAGCATCTCAGTGCTTTATGGCAATGCACAGTATACCCTCCCCCTAAGTGAGATCTAGCATACATACATTATTTCCCAAGTAATTTCACCATGACTTTCCTCTTGCCCTATCAAGATCATATGGCCCAGAAACCTAAGAAATACACTTTAAGAAATGTAAAAACAATGCGAAAGACAGAGACAGTGACGAGGGAGAGGGGAGCACTCTGACAGACAGGAACAGAGAGACTTCTGGGAGATACTAATGGCATTGAGACACTTGAAGTATCATTGACTAGTGCCCATCACCTACCAAACTATTGTAAGTTTTTTTTGTACCGGGAATCAAACCTCAGGACCTCACACTTGCCAGGCAGGCGCTGTGCCACTGAGCTATAACCCCAGCCCTATTATAAGTTCAATTAAGGCAGTTACTAATTTTTTACCTAACCATACAACCCCAGCATCTTGCATAATGTTTGGTACCTGGTACTAGATATAGAATAAATACATGAGCAAGAGAATTTCAATGTACTTTTTGACATAGTAAAAAACTGAAGACAACTCAAATGTTTATTAATAAGGAAATAGGTACTAAAGTTACTCTGCATTTATACCTAGTACACCCATTAAAAACAATGAACTTAGTATCTGTTCTAACACCATCACTTTAGAATGAAAAAGTTAATTATAGACAGACTGGATTGTACGTAGATGTCTAGAACACACACATCAAACTGTTACCAGCGACTATACCTGCATAGGACTATGACTGACAAATGACATTGTTTTCAGGGGTTTTTTTTTGTTTTTTTGTTTTTTTTTGGTCTTTTTGAGACAGAGTCTCACTATGCAATTCAGGCTGGCCTTGAGCTCACTTTGTAGCCCATGCTGGTCTTGAACTCACAACAATCCTCCTGCTTCAGCCTCCTGAACGCTGGGATTACAGGCGTGTGCCACCACACCTGGCTGTTTTCATGCTTTACATACTCCTCTATTGCTCGGAATAGTCCTCAACAACTATGCACTTCTTTTCTAATTCATTTGTTAGGCTTTGAGCAAATGCAGGTCTAGATAAATTACATACTTTATGCTTTATGTTTATATCACTATTTCTTAGAAATATTTTTGTAATGATCCCAACAGCGATCCTGAGAGGAAAGTAAGACAATATTTTATTTTTTTAAGAGTAGGAAAATTTGCTGGGGATTTAGCTCAGCGGCAAAAGCGCCTGCCTGGCAAGTGCAAGGTTGTGAGTTCAGTTCCCAGTACCGGAGAAAAACCAAAAAAAAAAAAAAAAAAGAGTAGGAAAATTTATCGAGGAAAAGGAATGGGGAATAAGAATAGTTGGATGGGAGACAGGAGGAATCCCAAATGGGTTGCCAACAAGCCCACTTCTCACAGGACGTTTTATAGAGCAAAATCACAACATGGGGACAACTTCGATCAAAATTATGATCACCCAATAAGATTACAAGTATACGCATTACATAATATTGATCCAATAGAAGCAAGGGCATATGGATGACAACATTAACCTTGGTCCATAATCTGTAGTCTTAGTGTTACTCTTAGTCTTTTCTTGGTGGGAGAGGTGGGCCAACCTATAATGTGATAATGGTTTATTCATACAGGAAATCTCAAAAAGGTGGTAACAATAATCTTAAACTTCTATCCCATAGGGAAGTATGTAAATCTGCGCATTGCGACTTTAATCTTAAGATGCACCTCCACCCATAATTCTGATGTGGTCTCATCTTCTGTGCAGGGCCTAACCCTGTCTGACTGCCTATAATATTTCTACCTAACTTAACTATCTATATTCCCTCCTCTGAAGAGGGAATAACTGCTGTGAGGGGCAAGGAGTGAAGACCCTTCTGACTGAAGGGGTAGTCGTCATGATCGGCGGTCAGAGATCCTCCACAGAGGGTCTATCTAAGGCCCTTGATAAATGCCAGGTTTTCTCATCTTGGATAGGCATATACCTGTAAGGCTCCTTCCAATTATCTCACCAGGGCCACCAAGAATGATACAGGAAGGACATCCAAATGAAATAGCGGAAATAAATGTAACTCCCAACCTGATAGATGTCCAATACACTGAGTTCATGCTCCCCAAAGTTGAAGAATGAATTCTAAGGAACAACAGAGGTTAAGAGCAGGAAAGTTTATTGGGGCAAGTAATGGGGAATAGGGATGGCTCCTGGGAGACAGGAGGGGTCCTGAATGGGTTACCAAGAGATAATATTGTATTAATTCAGTAATGGAGATTAAAATAGACACGTTGTCTGACATCCCAAAGCAAAATAAGCAACAGAACTGGGGCTAAAATATGGTTCTCTTAGTTTGTGTTGTTTTCATGTACATATCATTCCCTCTCCAGTAAGGGAAAGTAGACTGCCTTGACAGAATCAACATTTTACTTTATTTTTATTTGAGACAGGTTCTCGCTATGTAGCCCAGGCTGGCCATGAACTCACAGTGATCCTCCTGCCTCAGCCTCCCAAGTGCTGGGATAACAGCTGTGTGATATCACACCTTGCACAGAATCAACATTTTAGCACCAAATAACGAAGAGATTTAAACTTGTTCTCATCTCTTCCCTTCCCAACCTCCATCTGTAGTCTGAGGGTATTGCTGATCAATCCCCCAAAGGAGCACAGCCTCTTTAAGAGTAACCCTAGGAAAGGATAGGTTACAAAATCACCATGCAGACTTCTTTACTGTTACACAATTCCCTCATATTAAACCGAAACCCTTCATTGTTTGACCTTCTGGTCCAAGTTTGGACACCTGAAATGCCACAATACAGATTTCTCTCCTCTTTTAGAATATAATCAAGTATGGAAATAGGTACTATACTAGATAAACTTCCCAACAAAACACCTGTTATTACCCAATTTCTAATTTCAGTAAAGGCCTGACAAATAACTTGACAGCGAAAAAAAAGGACCTCTAGCAATCGACGTTCTAGTCAACTGCAGTACAATCCTGAAAGGAGTTACTGAGAACCTACACATTTCTCACCACTCCTCAGACAGCAGGAAATGCTCCCACAAAGTCTTAGCTTTAGATAGCTACACACAGCTGGGTCAAAAAACTGCTATTAGTTCTCCATGAGACAACCTGTCCTCAGTAAAATATTCCTCCCTGGCTTAGTCAGAACTTGCAATAACAAAGAGCCTGGTGGTGGGAACCATAGACAAACGAAATATTTTACAATTAAAAAGGGGGAAAATAAACGGCTATTGGGTAACACCAGGAAGTTGTATATAGAAAAGTACAGTGCAAGAAGTCTTGAAATGGCTAAACTTAAATACTTACTAACACTACTTTTATCATATGATGAAAAAATAATCAGAATCAAATGTTTGTGCAAAATCTTTTTTCCCCTTCTTCAGTCAGGATCTGACTATGTAGTCCAGTGTGGCCTTGCAATTGTGATCTTCAGGGCCAAAATTATAGTTGTGTACCACAACGCCTAGCCCCGGGCAAAACCTTCACAAGAAGCGCACTATTTGGAACAGTTTAATTTTTTTATTCTGGTTTTACCTATTAACGGCAGACACAAACCTGCAAGATTCTTCCCAAATGCTGCTCAAGGTTTTCTTTCTGAAAATTCTCTCAATTTAAATAGGGGAGAGGTCCTCTCAGAACCCAATTTAAAAACATCCCTTTTTAACTCTAATTTATTGAACTTTCTTTACCAACAAAATGCTTTTGAACATTGTATACCCATAACTCTGGAGGAAGATGCTCATAAATATTTGTAGAGTAAACGAAAGAAAAAGGAAAAGAGATTACAGGTTATTATAAACAAGACCAGTTTGCTGTCTTAATGCTGAGAAACTAATCGTGTGCTGACCATGTTGTACGACCCTGACCACTTATATACATGTTTTAGTCTCATAATAATCCCGTCAGTTTCTCATCTGAAACAAAGTAAAACTCAGAGACATTGCATAACTCAGGTTACAGTCCTAGTAAGTTTGAACTGCAGTTTGTGTGACTATCAGGTTCATCGGATGTAACAGTGACCTTCAATATACCCTTGTCAATTCGCTCCTCTCCTTACACTTACGGGTGGAGGAAAAGAAATCCACAGCACATCAGTAATTATATGCAATCCAAGTTCTCTGGCTACCTAAACAGTTTTAATTTTCTCCCAGCTTACAGAAAACCTGCTAACGAAGTAAATGACTTTATGAACATCAATCATTTTCACATACATAATTAGCTCTTCAAAATCTCACAAAAAACAAATTTCCATGATGTCGGCTGAAAACACCCCATCATTCACATACTCCTGCTTCGGGTCTGCCAAAAAGGAACAGGATCTGTATAAACGTGGGCCATCACCCTCGTCTTCCTACTGCAAAGGCCAGATCCAGCTGGGGGAACGCGAAGACTCAGTTGGCCCCCTTGTCCCTGAGTTCTGATGCGCGTCCAGTCCACGCTATGCAATCAGTTACGTGTGTTGACCATCAGATGTATTTACGAGCCAACACACTCAGGTCAGAGAAAGGGCGTGGGAATAACATTTTAGGAAGGGCTGCGCTGCAGCCAAGACTAACTGGGCCGCGGTCCACACTCGCCCTTGCCAATTCTTGTAAGCTCACCCCCTCCAATGAATCACTTCTTCCTGGAGTCAGGGTTTACACAACAGGTTCCTACCTTGGTCTGAACACTCTTATCAAACTTGTCATTTTTGAAGCTAAACGTATTCTGGTGTTTCTGAGGCCTGGAGCGAGCCACATTGCCTTTCTGGGAGCTCATCACCGAAATCGCTCCCACCTCGCACCAGACGCACCGAAAAAGTCGCAGAGAAGACGGAGCAGCTGGCCCCAAGCTGCGGAGGCGTTCGCCGGTGACCCGGAAGCAGCTCACCGGGCCTTTCCGCTCCCAGGGAACACACGTGACCCCCAGGGAGGTCAAAGACCGCCCTCCCGCTCTCCCGGATCCAGGTGCGGGAACTCCGCGCCGCCGAGGCGCCGCCGAGGCCCTTCGCGCAGGCTCTGTTTCAAACCGACCGAACCAATCCCGCTTTCTTCGAAATGAGAGTTGCCCTATTGGCCCGAAAGGGGCAGTCCATCACGGTGGAGGGGCGGGGACTCTCTACTCCGGTTGGCTCTTCTTTTCCGCAATCCCCGCCTCCTGCCGAGTGCGCTCTGCCTCTCCGCGAGCGCGGAGCTCTACGGCCTCTGCTGGGTGGCTCGTGATTGGTGGAAGTCGGGCGAGGCTGGGTTCGGTCCTCCCCCCGGCGGCTTGCAGGCTGGAGCCCGGGTCAGCTTTGGCACCTTCCTCCCGTCGGTGACCAACTCCGGGCTCCGCCGGGCCCCGCACGCCCCCTCAGCGCCGCGCCGGCTCCCCACCCGCTCCCGCAGCGAGCCCGGTCCTCGGCGGGCAGACGAGGGGCAGAGAAAGCGGGGCTGAGGAGAAGCAAGAGCCGGCGGGGCTGGGTGTTGTCTGCGGTGCCAGGAGAGGAGGTGGCGGCCGCGACCACGGCCGCGCGGGACGTGAGGCCCGAGAGCCACCGGCGGCGGCGGCCGCTGCAGCGCG